ATGTGAACTATGTCTCCTTCCCCACTGACTTTCCTACAGCTTGAGTAACACTAGACACAGATCTGTGGGGAGTCAGTAAATGCTTGTCGGTTTATAGGAATTTAGTTCCTGTCTTACGGTGTTCAAGAAAGAAATTTGGAAGATGGGGATCGAGGATGCTTTCTGACACCTCGCTGTGTCCCAGTAAAGTGAGACCTCCACTTTATGGTAAAGTAGAGGTGGGCCTTGTAATACTTCTCATCCCCACCTTGTGAATCTGGATGAGAATAAAGCCATTATACACATGAAAGCACTTTGAAAAGTAGTGAACATAATGCAAATGACTGTATCATCTATTCCTATTAAAAAAAAGAGAGAGATGCTTGTAATGCAGATCACCTACTGCCATCTCTTGAATCCTGCAATGAGTTGTTTTTTTTTTTTAATTTTATTTATTTATTTTTTTTTTATCACAACCATAGTGTATCTTTTTTTTTTTTTTTTTTTTACATGTATTCCCCATCCCGGTCCCCCCTCCCACCTCCCTCTCCACCCAATCCCTCTGCAATGAGTTTTTAAGATCATCTCTTGATTGGTGGCTCAGATGATAAAAAATCTGCCTGCAATGCAGGAGACCCAGGTTTGATCCCTGGGTTGGGAAGATCCCTTGGAGAAGGGAATGGCAAGCCATTCCAGTATTCTGGCCTGGAGAATCCCATGGACAGAGGGGCCTGGTGGGCTACAATCCATGTGGTCACAGAGTCGGACACGGCTGAGCAAAGAACACTTTCACTTTCACTTCATGATTAAACTAAAGTTATGCTGTTTACCTAGTTGTCGTGAAAAAAATAAACTGATATCTGGTAACACTTGAGTCAGCAGAAATTATTCCTCAATAAAACACATCTTTTTGCCAAACTGAGGTGCCCAAACTCTTAGTGTTATTGTGTTCTATTTTTTAATTTTTTCATTATGGAAGCATCCTAACAACATATACCCTCCAAACCTAGAAAAGAGTCAAGTTAAATCACTCATACTTTGATTACCTTAACTGCTAGGTTTTTTTTTTGTATTCTTTTCCCAAGTTTGAAGCATCTTTTTAAAATGTAGCAATTATAGAGCTTCTGCATAGAGTAATTATGGGCTTCCCCGGTGGCCAGATAGTAAAGAATCTGCCTGCAATGTGGGAGACCTGGGTTCGATCACTGGGTTGGGAAGATCCCTTGGAGGAGGACATGACAACCTACTCCAGTATTCTTGCCTGGAGAATCCCATGGACAAAAGGAGCTTGGTGGGCTACAGTCCATGGGGTTGCAAAGAGTCGGACATGACTGAGCGACTAAGAATACACACACAATTATAGAGCAGCAACAGTGGGATCATAGTTTTTCATTGGTTTTTTAATAAGAAGTATTTTTTCATGTCTTTGCATCACCATCAATTTCAACAAACTAACAAGTAAGGCATGTAGTAAAAGAGAAGAAAATTCTCTAAAAGGAATGGCTCTGCTCTTTCACTGGGGCCTCACAGCTGACCAGAAAGGAAAGTGAGGACACTGGCTATTCAGGGGTGCTGCCTGCTGGAAACCTACTCCACCAGCGCTTTCCCTGCCCCTTGTTTTGTGAGTCACTCCTGACTAGGGAAGTGTAGCTAAAAGCTGCATTCATTTCTGTCTCCTCCTCTCAATCTTTAGACCCTGTTGCTTAAAATACCAGCAAGCCTCAGGGGAAGGTTTACCCCAGACTGTCCCAGTTTTAGCCTGCAAACCCTGCATCCTGGGAAACTCCTCCATCCTGGGCAAACTTGGACAGCAGATCACCCACCAGGAAGAAGTGGGCGAATGTGTGCACATCCTTCATCAGTGGCCAACCGGCTGGGGCTTAAGCCTTGTCCTAGCACTTCTCTGACTCTCAGGATGTGGGTGGCCAACACGCGCCCTCTGACTTCAGGACCACCCAGCCCTGTGCTATACCCACCTGGCTTCTCAGCTCCCTGTCACCGGATCTGGGCTCTCTCGCCCACTCACCCAGCCCTGGAGGCACCCAACCGGGATATTCCTGTAGGGGCTGAAGTGAGCAAATATGACATTTAGATAAAAATGGCAGCTCTGAAATTCTTATATTTAAGGCAGCCTTAGATGTCAGCTCGGAAATCACTTCGCTTGATCATTATTAGTCTGATTTCTTTTTGTTGTTGTTGTTATATTTGACTTATGTGCCCTGTAGAAGTTAAAAATGTTTCCCTTGCTTTTTTGCAAAGGAAGAATTTCCACTTGCCCCGCAAAGTAGGCCTTCTGCACATCACATGCATGCACAAAATTATGCAGTCCGGCCCTTTACTTCCTTACTCTGGAGACTTTGTACTCTTATTTAAGATGAGTCTGGAGAACAACAGAAATGGCTCAGGGATGGGCTTTGTTTCTGTTCAGTTCAACAAATGTGTACCTATCATCCCTCAAAATTGAAGATTCAAATCTATTTCAATAAATGCCCTGATAAAGTAAGGTCGCAAGTGACACTCAAGGTAGAGGCTTCACACAATGGTGACCAAGAGCAAAAGTGCTAGGTACACTTGTGTGTGTGCTAATCAGCATCTTTTCATTGATTTCTAGCAGAAGAATTACTTTATAAAAGACCGTATTCATTAATCAGCTATAATCAGCCCTTCCTAGAATGGTGAAGTATTTAAGCCTTGTTTGCTGGTACAGATCATATGTAATTGTTTCCATATTGTTGGTAAAACAGCTGTGGAGTTTTGCATGGGCCATAAGTACTCAAGGTCTTTGAGGCAATTTCTTTGTATAAACAATGCAAATTTTTATTGCTATAGTTGAATTTTTTAAATAGGCTTTAAATCCATCAGGTTTTTTTTTTGAGGGGAGGGGTTCTTCATAGGAGAGTAGAGGTGGTGATGGTGACTGAATAACATGAAAGAGGCTGTGTTCTTATAGGGGAGGCCCAGGGCCCTTTCATCTCAGGCTGAATCCTGGCCCACTGCTGCTTGAGGATTTGGAGTGTGTAAAAGTCCTGGGCTTTTTAATTATGTGTAAGCCTTTTAAGACGCCTGTACCAGGAGAGCACAGATGGAAACATATGCAGTGTAACATTTTATATCCAATTTGAGGATTCGACCAGAGGTCCTGACTTGAGTCAAACCAGAGCTTCCACATAGATGAAAGGTAGCATGGAGTTGAAGAAAATCTCTTTGTTGGTGGTGGAGTGACAATAACTCATGAGAATCAACGATTGCAAAAAAATAGCCTAAGAAGAATAGAAAACAAAAGGGGAAATTTTCAGATCTTCACTGGCGAAATTAATCAACTCGATTCCTTTTTTAAAAGTTTTGTTCCATATTTGTAAACAAATATATCAATTATATATATATAATAATTGTGACATATGTTTGGCATTCGGCTTTCTTTTTTCATTTAACTTTTAAAACTATTTATGTGTTTATTTCAGTATTTATTTTGCTGTGCTGGGTCTTTATTGCTGCTTGGGCTTTTCTCTCGTTGAGGAAAGTGGGGGCTACTTCTAGTTACAGTGCTCAGATTTCTCTCCGTGATGGCTTCTCTTGTTTGGGAGCACAGGCTCTGGGGCCTGATAGCTTCAGCAGCTGTGGCCCCTGGGCTCTAGAGCACAGGCTCAATAGTTGTAGCCGATGGGCTCGGTTGCTCCACAGCATGTGGGGTCTTCCTGGGTCAAGGATTGAACCCATGTCTCCTGCACTGGCAGGTGGATTCTTTACCACTGGGCCACCAGGGAAGCCCAGCATTCAGGTTTCATACTTAATATTATATGACAAGTAGTTTCCACACTGCTTCATGGTTTAGTCAGACAGTTGAAGTGGCTTTGCAATATCCCATAGAATATCTGTACCATGGTTATTTAACTACTCACTAATATGGAACTTTTAGACTGTGTTCAAATGTGTCTTTATAAAAATTCAATGCATATAGTTAATTTTTTTTCAATTTCTTTTGGTTTATTTTCATAGAACTTATTCCACAAACCGGGATTAACTGGGACAAAGAGTCTCAACATTTTAAAGTCTTTGCATTAAACAGTGACCGTTGCTTTCCTGAAGAGTGGTACCATTGTACACTATCCCCAGTAGCTTCACAGCATTGGGTATTATCTGAATTCTTGTTCAAGCAACTAAAACGTTTGGGAAGAAAAGAGTTGCCTCAGAGTTTCCCCTACAGTACCCATCAACTTGGCTTAAAAATGTATTCTAGGCATTTTGAAGGACATTCCTCATTGTTGACAAATGGCTATCATATTTAAGAATGGAGGCCTCTGGAAGGACATGGCAGACATTGCTGCCTCCAACAAATAAGAGACTTGAGGCACCTGCGTCTATCTGTCTGCCTCAGAAAACTATAGTTGCTACTGAAATGTAGGAGGGGAAAGGAATATGGATTAGCATCAGCTGACGGAATTCCCAGCTTGCCAGCTGCTGCAGGGCCTGAAAGTGAAGATAATGAAATGCAGGCTTCATGAAAGTCCTAGAGTGTAGTATTCCTTAGTTCCACTGAAATGTGACCACAGTCTTCTTCCCTCACATGTTACTGCTAAGTCACTTCAGTCGTATCCGACCCTGTCTGACCCCATAGACGGCAGCCCACCAGGCTCCCCCGTCCCTGGGATTCTCCAGGCAAGAACACTGGAGTGGGTTTCTTCCTTCACATAGCCATAAGTAAAACCTATAGCGCCGGGTAATACAGCACAAATGCTTTTGCATTTGTAGAGGTATACATAGAGGTATACATGAAGATTCCTATGAAGAACCAAACTTTTGGAAGAATGCAATGGTTGAGACAAGGTTGAGTTTATTTCAGGTTGTTGGTATTTGTAACCAACTGGAAGAACCCTACTGAGTTCCTGGGCTGGCCTCTCTGAGCAGTACATCAGAGGAGCTTACATCCCCTTTTGTGTCTCATGTGCATTATCAGTACCTAGACACACGACTGGCTTCCTCTGCTGAATCCTGCATTTGCCCATGGCTTAATTTCTTTTCAGGTTCTAATCTACAATGGCCAACTGGACGTCATTGTGGCAGCTTCCCTAACAGAGCGCTCCTTGATGGCCATGGACTGGAAAGGATCTCAGAAATACAAGAAGGCAGAAAAAAAAGTTTGGAGGATTCTTAAATCTGATCCTGAAGTGGCTGGTTATGTACGGCAAGTGGATAACTTCTGTCAGGTATGAAAATGCTTCTGGGCATGCATATTGTGGAAATAGGATGGTGGGATTGAAACTGAAGCCCGAGAGACTTCCTCAGTGATCCAGTGGTTAAGACTCCATGCTTCCACTGCAGGGAGCACAGGTTTGATCCTTGTTTGAGGAACTAAGATCCTACATGCAGCTTGGCATGGCCAAAAAATCAAGCAATAAAACAGAGGGTATATATGAGAGGAATTAGACTTATGGGGAAAAAAGCCTGAAAACCCATTAAGGCATGGTCAACCTTAAGCAAACACGTACAACAGCCAAAATACATGTCCCTCCTCTCCACAGAGAAGGATGGTCTCAGTTCATATTAAAATACAAATACTCCATGTTAAGACAAAAGTTGACAGACACAGGTGTAGGTATTATTTAAGAGATAAGGTGACAATGAAAAATATAAAGTCTGTGTGCTTAGCTGCTCAGTCATGTCTGACTCTTTGCGATGGACTGTAGCCCCCCAGTCTCCTTTGTCATGGGGATTCTGCAGGCAAGAATACTGGAGTAGGTTATCATGCCCTCCTCCAGGGGATCTTCCCAACCCAGGGATCAAACCCAGGTCTCCCACATTGCAGGAGGATTCTGGTGGGCTACAGTCCATTGGGTCACAAAGAGTTGGGCATAACTGAGTGACTAACACACACATTTTCATAAATAGTTAACTCTAAAGTCAGATTCCAAAATATTGGACAAGTGGATGCTCTTCGGTTGCAGAAAATAATCTGGACTTAATTTTTCTTGTCTGTTTGTCCCTAAAAATTTTTAAGTTTTTTGAATTGAATTCAAAAAAATTTTAAAAAGAAAAAATCAACAATTTCAACACCTGAAATTGCATTTTAACTGATGCTTTTGTACACAGGTAAAACTTTGTACATAATTTTAACAGTGAAATGTGAGTTGATTCTGCTTTGGTACTTTAAAAAATCTTATTGAGTTATAATATAGAAAAGTTAACAAGTCACAAAGCAGGTAAATGAAATTTCACAAAGTGAGCATATACATGTGACAGTCACCTAAATAAAGAAATAAAATAGAACCAATGCCGGTTGCCCCACAGTCACTACCCCCTCCTCTCCAGGGTAACCACTGTCCTGATTTCTTGTGGCCCAGATTATTTTTTGCAAGTTTTTGAATTTTTATAAATGGACACATTCAGTTTGTACTCTTTCCTGTGTGGTATTTTTGCTCAGCTTTATGTTCATGAGATTTACATACTCTTTTTTATGGCAATTTGATCCTTTTTCCTGATATGCCTAAGAGTTTGAATGTCAGACATTAAACAGGTCAAGTTATGGAGAGTTTGAATTTTTGGCTGATGATATTTACCTTCAAAGAGACTTTGCTTTGCTTCTGTCAGGCAATTAGAATACAGACAAGTACCTTTATCAAGTCTGGAATTGAGTGTATTTAAAACTGTATTTTAGCTGGCCTATTTCCATGGCCCTAAATTGACATTTGTGGTATTAACCAGGGGCTCTACCCTTTGGCAGAGCACGAACACCAATATTTGTTTCCCAAAGCTCCTTTCAAGTTTCCAGTCTCTTAACTACCACTTTATGCTTGGTTTTGTCACCTCTTGGCCCCTGAATCAGCCATTGCTTTGATGCGGACAGGGTCAGAGAATGTCACACTCAGCTTGTTGCGCACATGTGCATAAAGAAACCTTTCCCTTAGTCTCTGGAACCTGTCAATATGTTGTATCGTGTGGAAAGAAGGAATTAAGGCTACATATGGAAATAAGGTTGCTAATCATCTGACCTGGAGATGGGGAGATTATTCCGGATTATCCCGATCAGCCCAATATAATCACAAAGATCCTGATAAGTGAATGAGGGAAGACGTGAGTCAGAGTTTTGAAGGTGCTGCAGTGCTGTATTTGAAGGAAGGACCATGGTCTAAGGCATGCAGGCCACCTCTGGAAAACTAGAAAACACAAAGAAACAGATTCTCCCCTAGAGTCTCCAGAAGCAAGGGAACCCTGGCAGCATCTTAGTTAGCTTGCAGCTATCTGCAAGCAGGGAAGAGAACCCTCACCAGAAACCCCATCAACTAGCATCTTGATCTTGGACTTCCCAGACACCAAAACTGTGAGAAATTTCTATGGTTTAAGCCACTCAGTCTACATTAGTCTCATAGGATTATTGAGGGGACTTAATAAGATAAGCAACTTAAAGCAGCCCCTGACTCACAAGAAATATTTGCTAGTATTATTATATTACTGTGGATCACTTATAAGGATGTATATAACAAAAGGGAAATCATAAATAGTAAAAATCAAGATCAGAGAAAATGTTTGATATTTTCCCTTAGAGGAAATCAACCCTTAGAGGAAAGTTGGGATATTATTGTTCAGATTATTAAAGGCAAACACACATGCCGAGTGTCCAGGGCATAATGCTGGGCATGTCTTTGCCCCCATCTGCTGCACTGCTTTATGATGAGAATCCCACCAGGCACACTCAGCATGTCCTCCACAATTTCTGATGGCCGCCTCAGCCACCTGTTATCTTATGTCCCCCAGACCAGCATTATGAATGCCTCCGTGTCCTGCTCAGCACCGTGCATGGAATGCCCAGCTTGGGGAGTGAGACTGGGGCTGCAGGGCGGCGTGGGCCTCAGAGGTGGGAAGAGGGATGTTGACCTTCACTCGGAAACTTGTGGCAAATATCACACTGAGCCCGCTGACTCTTCTGGTGAATGCAAAACACATTGAGAGATGAAATGGCACTCCTCCGACTGCCAAAAACTGGGTAACAAAAGAAGCGAGGCCCACATATGTTTGTGATAGAAGTGTTTTACCGCACGGCGAGGGAGCTGCATTTTATGTAGGTGATTTTACAACGCTGGCAGCACTCCTCTCCCCTAATGCCTCCACGTAGGATTGGGGGTGGCTTGTGGAGGTGGGGGAGGGCGGGCAAGAAGGGTGGAAAAGAGCTCCGATGTTCACAAAGGCATTCTCTGTGGATTAGGGGTAGCGTTCAAATATCAGGCATCTGATAATGAAAAAAACGGGCTTCAGCCATGGACACAGCTTTTTAGCATTTGACACACAAAACAGAAGCATGTGTCTGTGTCTGCCAAGAGAGAAACCTCGCTCTCTGCCAAACTCCACAGCTCTTAATTTAAAAATTGAAACCAAAGTAGACTTGTCTCTGAATGGTTCCTTAAAATGTCCACTTAGAGGAATGACGGCTCTCCCAGGACAGCGGCAAGGTACTGAGATGAGGGAGCATTTCTCCATCAAGGGATGCCTAGGGAAACCAACCAGCTCCTTCCACCCCTCAGAGATCAGATAAAGAACAAGTCTTCGGGTTGCCCTTTGCTGCTCTAGCTGCTTCTATCTGAACTGTTCTAAGAATCAGACTCTCTTGTTACATCATCTGCGAAGTAATGGGCTTTTTCAGCCTCAGTTTGTTCATCTGTAAATTACAAGGTTTGAACTGAGTTATTTCTAAAGGGAAAGTGTTAGTCATTCAGTCATGTCCAACTCTTTGCAACCCCATGGGCTGTAGCCTGCCAGGCTTCTCTGTCCAGAGGATTCTCCAGGCAAGAATACTGGAGTGGGTTTGCCATTTCCTTGTCCAGAGGATCTTCCCTCCCCAGGGATCGAACTTGGGTCTCCTGCATTGCAGGCAGATTCTTCACCATCTGAGCCACAGGGAAGATATCTTTAAAGAAAGATCTGAAATAGATTTTTCATTAATGTCCAGAGAGGCTCAGTTTGCAAGCATTATAGAATAGATAGTGGCCTTCGGAAAGAGAGAGAGAGAGAGAGAGAGAGTGTGTGTGTGTGTGTGTGTGTGACTCAATAGCATTACAGCGTAGATCAGAGGTATAATCCTCTCTCTGCTTGGCTGGTGACAATCCATGTCCATCACTGTCAAGACCACCCTGCTGGCCCTTTTGGGGTCTTTCTCTGCCTTTCTTCAGATGTCTCAGCTGCTGGTCATGATCTGTTTTGATGTAATCACTGCTTTTGAAATGCAGGATGTTTTTGTTCTTACATCATTGAATCATCAACTCCAAACATGCCAAGATGCCACATTTATAAATATAAAATTTTCATCAGAATAATAACACTGATGAACTCTTTAAAAACAGCTTTCTAGAAAAAACTACATGAAGCTACATTTTCTGGGGGAAAAAAGCATTTTTTTATATCTTTATTTCACTGAAAATATTTTTATGGAGAATAATTATTTTTCATGTAGAAATTAAAAGGAAGACATGAGTCAGTTTTCATTCCTGTGCAATCATAGTGAGCGTAGTTTCTTCTACCATGAATTTTGCATTATTTCCAACAAGTCTGTTTTTCCTGATTGCAACTTGAGATATCATAATTTTTGTTTTCATTATCAGTATCAGCTTAGGTTATTCAATAAATGCTTTTCTCTATCCTGTAGGTAGCATTTTCCAGCTGGAGCAAATTTTGGATCTCACTTTCCAGGTGGAGAAACTAAAGCCTGGAGGTTAAATGACTGTCCCAAAGTCCCATACCCATTTCATGTCTGAAATTAGATTCGATTTCAGGTCCCCTGGCTTCCAGCTCAGTAGTTTTCTACTTCACAAGGGCACCCACCTCTGGAATGATGGATTGGCAGCAGTAAGCTAGTACGCTTGAAACTGGAACCTGCACGCACATCTGCCATAATTAAAGCAGGCCTGAGAAAGAATGTATTTTACTTCTAGTGTTAATTCTTGAGTTACATACATGTGCCTTTCTATAGACAGAGTATCAGGGATTTTTTTAAAAGGTAGGTGGTGCTTAGTAGGTGGTGAGGCAAGGCTCATCCAGTGTTAAGAAGGGTTATAGATTTACCTGGGGAGTTCGCATGTTAGTAAAAGAATCAATGCTGAAATTGGCTAAAGTGAGCAGAGGAGAAGCATGGTGGGCAGAACCTCAGAATGGGGGCATACAGAGCAGGGCACAGACGGAGCGCACAGCCTGGTTTTTATTCTGGTGCCTGGAGGGTGAA